ATGAAATCAACATTCGATACTGTTGTATTGCATTAAATGAGTAAAATGGGTAGCAATTGGTACAAATGAAATCAACATTCGATATATATATATATATAGTGGGTGTTTAGAAAGTGGTTATTTTAGAAATTTTTTGATTATTTTAGTAGGCTTAATTTTTCTATTTGAAAAGTTGAGTTAGATTTTTATTTCAGTTGTTGTATTGAAAAATATATTTGAAATGATGTTTAAAGTGACATGACAAATTTATCCTTAATTTTACTTTTTTCAAAATTAATCTAAAAAGATAAAATTGTCACTTACTCATTTGGGACTAGGCTATGATTACAAATATGCCTACACTGTCACAGACAGTGTAGGTCTGCCAGCTGCTATTTTGTTTTTTTGTTTTTTTTTAATCAATGGGATAGGCTGATTTTTTTTTAGGCTAAAAGGTTATTTTTCATTTTGAAGCTAAAATAGCCTCTACCCATAGTTCCCAAACATCCCCATAGTGTGTGTATTTATTTATGAAAAAATCTAATGAAGGAGATGATCAGCGCCTTCACTTGATCCTTATCTATAATATAAAGCTAATAAGGAAGAGGAACAGAACCTCCACTTGATCGCCATCTACAATATTAAACTCCCCAGTTATTGAACGGCTGGGGTCCTCTGATGCCTAAGTTAATTCTCTATTATTATAAAAATATTTAATTGATATAATTCGTCTATTTATAATATCGAGTGACTTACCTATCAAATCTAAGTTAGTTCTCTAATATTATAAAAATATTTAATGGACATAATTTATTTATTTATAATATTGAGTGACTTGTCTATCAAGTAGTTTAAGTGCTCCAAAAATCCTACTATATCCATAAGATTTCATTTCTTCATGTAGTGTTTATTGAGAAGTTGACAACTACTATACTCATGATAAGATGATACATAATTCCGCCTTGGACTGCCATAATTATTATCTTTGGATGCATAAATGTAGATGCATCCAAATGTGTACTCTTTAAAATTATTATCTTTGGATGTAGCTATTGATATATACATTTGTGGGCGATTGTGTAGCAGTGGGAGATTTGATGTTTGTGGTGCTGGCTATGATGAGGTATCATCCATTGCCAGTTGGCAACAATAATGAAAGGTTGTGATGGGCCAAACTCTATTATTGCAGATGGTTGGGCTTCGATTGCAGATGCCAAAAGAGGGAGAAAAGTGAGGGTGGCAATGGCAGCACCGATGGTCAATGAGTGATGGTCGTTAATCGCGGGCAACAATGAAGGTGGTCGGCTATGGTGGCTTGGCTTGTGGTGTGTGTGAGAGTGAGGTTGAAGAGAGCTGATGAGAGACCAGGAAAGGAGTTGTGAAGGAAAAAAATTTAAAGGTTTTTGTTTTTTTTTTTACTAATGAGGGTAATACAGTAATTTTATCAACTATCTAACAGTGTCAACTGACAGAGCAGATCAGTGATATTTCAAAGAATTGAGCGGATGATAGTGTAATTTCAAATAAATCTAAAGGGTGTCAGTTTAATTTAGGGGGATGCACCAATAAATCCCAAATTAAGAACTTATACACTGTTTAGTCCTAAAAGTTTTCTTATAGACTGAAAGGTCCCATTACAATGTTTCAAATATCAGATTAATGTTTCGAACATTAAATTTCGAACATCAGATTAATGTTTCGAACATCAGATTAATGTTTCGAACATTAGATTGATGTGTAAATGGGACTAAATGGAGTATAAGAAAACTTTTAAGACTAAATGGTTCAACTTTTCAGAAACTAGGACTTATGGGTAAATTTTCTTTTAATTTATCCTAATTTAAATTATTAAAACGAATTTCACGGACCGAGTAATACTTCTCTAAGTCCATATTAGACCATTCTATTGTGGAGAATCACTTTATTAGTAGCGTTTTGTAAAATTTTAAAATTATGATTTGATAACAGAATTGTATTTTAAATTTGTGAGTTTTGAAATTATGATTTAAAAAGAAAAAATTTATTTGGTTATGAGTTTTGAAAAGGTTTTGGAATTGAGTTTTGAATTTTTGATGTCATATATGAAATGAGAAAATTTGTTTGGTTATGAATTTAAAAAAAAAAATTTCAAAACTTAATTCAAAAAGTTATAACTTATAATTAAATACACAACTCAAAACACCATTGAAAATTCTGTTCAAAACTCATAACCAATCTCTTTTAAAATTCAATTCAAAAAAAAATAATTATGAAAAAAAATAACGTTAAAATTTTTTTAATTGAAAATATTACAAACAAAATAAATCACCTTGCTTGTTTTCACTTTTCAAAAAACATTTTTCAGAAAATTCTACTTTCTTATTTTCCATGTTTTTTTTTGTTTTTACTGAATTTTTTAATATTTTAAGTAATTTTTTTACTTTTTAGACACACCTAACATAAATACACCTAAAAAGTAAAAATATTGTAAAAAAATCTTTTAAAAATTCACTAAATACCAAAAATACAAAAAAAAAAATACAAGAATTCAGTACATTTTTTTATATTTTTATGTATTTATTAATTTTTTAAAATATTTTTTCACAATTTTTTTATTTTTTAGATACATCTAAGTAAGATGCGTCTTAAAAAGTAAAAAAATGTTTAAAATTTAAAAAATATTCACTAAAAACAAAAAAAATACGAAAACCAAAAAAGTCAGTTTTCAAAAAACTTAATCTAGAAAACTCAAACCAAACACACTGAATTGTTTTTTAAAAATAAATATTCAATTACTTCTTTAAAATAACTTTTGATTGTATATTTGGTTCGAATTATTTTGGACAAAACTCATATATATATTGTTGGGAAAAACTACTCACATTACATAATTTCACATTGCATATCGCAAAATTATGAGATGAACAAAACAAACCTTCAATCCCAAGAAAAATAACATGCTGAATAAAATACAGATAAAATATAAAATGGTTAAAGGAAGCAAACCGAAACCTGTGTGATACCACAGTCTCCTTAAAATAGATTCGCCGCCTCACCGTTGGGTGCTAGAGGTACGCCAGCGTCTACTTCCCAGGATACGACGGTTTTTACTAGCTACAACAAAAGCACCTTCTGATTAGCTTAGCGAACGGATAACGGCAGCACTCTCTCTCAGGAAGAAAATTATAGGAGAAGTAGACTGACAGTGTATGGATGTCAAGGAAAAATTCTATATCTCTTTTCAAGGAATAGGGCCTCCTTTTATACACCATGGGGGAGAGGGGAGGAGCCTCTAGCCATCAAGGCTGGCAACTAATGCTAGCAAAACTGCCCAATCAATTTTGTAAAACTGATGAGCCTTAAATGTGTGAGTTATATACACATTTATGAGGCAATTTCTTATTCAACCATTTTTCTCCAACATATATTTGGACAAAAATTTATAAACATTGTACCTCTTTGTTGTCGTTGTTTCATTGCCCGGATGGTGGATCAACCACAACACAAAAACTGGCAATCACTTGATTTGTGGGAGCTCGTCGATGCCAATTGATGGGTATGAAGGAATCAGTTCACAAGCATGGTTTGGATTTAAAGGTCAAAGAATTGTTCAAATAGAGGAGGAAGTGATTGAAGAGCTGTAGGTCACCCATGAAGCATCTTCAGCTTTGATTTTTTTTGGCACGTGAACCTTTTCAGAATAAAGAAGATGAATGAGAGGATATGTACGAAAAAGTGAGAGCCTTGGCTTGGAAGCAATTCTGTCAAACGTGAAAGAGAAGTGTGTTTTGAAATGTATAGTGGAATTAATTTTTGAACAAGCTATCCAAACAAACGGTTTAGGTGAAGGGGTGGAATTATGATTACAAAGCTGCACCAAACACAGTCCAAAATTGTCATATCTTAATTCTAACTTTTGTTTTTTTTTTTTTTATTTATGAAAATGCCCTAAAGAGAGCGCGCGCAGTGAGAGTCCCTCTCTTTAGAAATTTCCAGTGAAGCTCCTGCATTGCTCTGGCAACCTCTTTTACACTTTTAAAATGTAGATCTACACTTTAGAGTATAGAATTGGGCTTTTTATGTCTGAAATGAAGGTTTTGAATGTTTCTCTCCCAATTTCGACATAGATTTTTGGTTTTTCAACATTCACAATAGTTCCATCTTCTCTCGAGCCTTCTCTCATACTAGTGTAGATGTTCTTCCTCTTCAACTTTAGCTTTTGGTGGTGTTCAAAGTATGGCGGCGGCAGCGGACTTGGACATTAGCGACGGCAATGGCATCATAGGCGATGACAGGTGTTGATTTAGTATTAGTAGTTTTAAAAGTAAATTCTACTAAGTTGGCAGCTCAAAAAAATTAAATAATAAAATAAAATAAAATATCACATCATAATGGAGCTCAACTCTATTAAAACTATTAAGACTCATAAATTAAAACTCCAAAATATCTCTATATAATAAGTGTATCTGGAGTTGGAGAGATAGATTGGATTTGACCAATGCCTCGCTAGTGTATATCACATTATCTATTAGGTGATCAGTTCCATCATGATCTAAGCCCATTTGATTAGGGAAAACTTTGTTCGAAAAAAATTTAAAAATATAAAATAATTTTTTTTATTATTATTGTTATTGAGAAAACTGCTCTTCTTTGACCAAATATATTTACAAGATTATGGAGTGCAATTTCTTTCCTATGTAGAAAAAACATATAGTGGCAGACACGGTGTAACGGCTCCAAAATACGTATTACATTTATTTTGATTTAATTATGCATTAATATGAATTAATTTGAGAATATCTGTCTGAATCGGAAAAATATCTATTGGAGCTACGACTTTGGAGCTGAAATTGACAGTTTTAATGGATTTAGAAACCGAAATTGAGCATATGGATATGCTAATAGGAATTTTTAGAGCCATTTGGAGAGTTTAATTAAAAATTGATTTCGTCTGATTCGCTAAGTCATGTTTGACTTCATTTATACAATAATGTATATATATATATATGAGAGTTGAGCTCATCCTTATCAATTAAGAGCTCAAAACATTTAGAGAGTGAGAAAGAGAGTTCTAGACAAAGAGAGAAACAAGAGGAAGAAGAAGAACAAAGGTGATTAAACTAAATCTTCACCAATTAAACCATTCAAGGTAAGATTTATCCTCTAATTTCATATATGTAAGTTGTATTACCCTAGATATCTAGCAAGTTAAGGAGTTTCCTGGTGTAAATTCTTGTTTAGCAATCTCATGAGTTCAAAGGGTGAATTGTAAGAAAGAGCTCAAGATCTTGGCATGAGTTTATGAAATTCTTGTGCATTCATATTTACTTTTCACATGGTTCTTTAATTTGAGAGGAAATCTTCATGGATTTTGAGTTTGGGACCCAAAAGTGCATGTGTTATGATTTTACATTTTAATTTAAGAGTTTTGTAAATCAAAGCATTATATTACAGCGGAAAAAAATATCAGAATCATACCTTGTAGCGAAGAACCTCGTGGGTAAATCACGTGCTTCTAAAATCTGATCAGTTAACGAACCCAGCAGTGGAGTGATACTACAAAATGAGTATCACCCACACAAGTTACAGTGCAAAATGGCTTGATCGTTGTTTTCTGGGAGAGAGTCAGCGAGAGAGAGTCTGGGAAAAAAAAGGTTATAGGTAAAAATCACATAACGTGTATATCTGATATACGTATATCTTTAGATTAACTATATAATCTGATATATAACCACATACATATCAATCTATCCATCTATCCATATCTACTGATATAATAGATATAGATATCCTGAATGGTTATCCAAATAAGTTTTGAATTCAAATTCAAACTTATATGGATAAGGTTCAAAAGGTTCAGGTTCAAAGGGTCATGCCACATGGGCGCCCAATTACTAACATCTCCCACTCGCACATGAGTTGGCATGACACTGCCACATCTCTGTCTCAATCTCCCAAAAATAAACAATCTCATACTAGCCACTGCACCGTGCGACTGCTGAGAACACCTGCATGTGGGAGCTCTATACTAGAAACTCAAAAAGAGCCAGCATAGAGACATCAACCCAAAAAGAACAGAAATAGTGTCTCATATACCCCAGACCCATCTAATTACACCGGTCCAAAAAACATCTCTTATCCCTTTAAAAGAACATGTTTGACCCTCTCAATTCTTGCAATATATTCACACTCAATCTGCTTCTCATATAGAGCGATGTGAGTTGCCGGCAGTGAATATACAACAGTGGTGTAATACTAGATGATCTTCCATTTGCCCTCATACCATTTAGTTTAGGATTGACCGCTTTCTCAGTGATGTCCCTTAAGGCCGAATCATACATGACCGCAGGCAACATACTAAAGTAGCAGAACATCAACCCCTTACCTTATGACATAGTCAAAAGTCACAAAAGGGTACATAAATGAAAGTCATATCAATAATGACACGTAAGACTCACACGGTGAGGAAACAGGGATCCATTCTTTCACCTCATTACTCAGTCCCCAAGCACATATAGTATGAATACATTTTACGGTGGAGTAACTCTTCCAAAAGAGTGACGGCATCCTCGATACACCGTACAGATATAAGTCTAGTCACTTTCTAGCGCCTAACCTGAATTCTCTATTTGCTCGCCTTCTAGGCGCCAAATGAGATCTCGCATCTGGCTAATCATAACAGGCACAACAAGGAAAGTGGGTACTAATATCCCTGTTTGATCCTTAACACAACCTCATCTTGGTTGTAACCAAGGCGACATATATAGTGGATTATTTAAGCCTCTCTTGGCTCCAAATAAAAATATCATTAGTCTCATCCTTGCTCGCTCCCAAGTGCCAAGGGCGATTGCTCGTGTGAGTGAGCCAATCTTGCCTGCTGACATCATTATCTGCTAATTATTATGACACAAACCATAATAGTGTCAATATTCCATCATCTCAAAATAAGTGATCGATTTAAAAAAAAAGACCACGGCTTGCGCAATTATATATTCCAAACATAAGCCTTATCAGCACCTCTTGCGATAAGTATATACAACGGAATCCACCATGTGCGCCTCACATGAAGTAATTTAAGATCACTACCTCTTGCGCAATAACCTCTCTAAAGATATTTTGGTGACCAATTTGCGTTCATTCTTAATGCGCCCAACTAGCACAGATGCGCCCAACTAGCGCATTGAATCTTACAAGGAGCAAATTAATATACTACTAGTAAAGCATTTTATCCACAGTCTAATGAGCAAGGTCAATATCTAAACAACACAATTGACCATTTACCAAAGATAACACTTATCATGCCGAATACGCCCACATAGCGTACTTTAGGCTCCCACAACAAAGAAAAGATCAAGGAATATAGGTCATCTGTTTCTCTCAAAGACAATCCGCGGATTCACTCAATAGCTAAGGCTCTGGCTTTTACCGATAGGTAAGTCAATGGGCTTGCAATTTCGCATCTAGAATCGTTCTAGGATATTCCTTATGTAAGTCATCGAAAACAAAACATGAATTCTCCCAAAGTAATCCCTAAGGATCGTACATCCGAGCATATAAATTACATCACCCATGTCCATCATATCTAAAATAGAGGACTGCCCACCCTAGGTGGCGACAACCTTACAAATTCCTGGCTCATAATGACTAAGTAAGGAAAAACTTCTTTTGGACCATTGATCATGCCTCAGTGGTTTTCATCGATCATCGTCGGCCTATCATGGCTTGACGAAATCTAAGAACCACTATTTGGATAACTGTTTTAGGCTGTAAAAGATGTATTAGAACTAGCAACCTTTTTGCGCTCCTAACTTTTCACCATAAAAGCAGAAGGTAAATCCCTACGGATCTACTTATCCAATTCTCTAACGAGAAAGTTGGGTCACAATGTCCACAAATCAATGTTCCGAACTTATGTCAATCATAGCCTAAGTCAAAATAACCTCACTCCCCAAGAGGAAGTCTTCTCATGGTCTACACTTTCCTCAATGGTGCGACTTTTCAATATCTAGCGAGCCTTATGCCTCAACAATGACTATCTAAATTACGCATAACTTTATAACAATTTTGCATCATAATGGAAAGTCAACCAAATTATAAAAAAGGTTAATCCTCAAAGAATTTGTCTTAAACTGCACATCATTGATCCACTTTCTAAAAATAGGGGACTAGAGCCTTAGGCATTATCCTAGACTCTTTATCATCTTGCGGAGCAATCATGAATGTTTCTCTCTCAGTCACCCAGTGATGACATGGAAAATTTTCACATTCACTACCACGCAATTAAGAATGTAGAGTATTCTTCTCTAATAGAGTAATCCATTAGTAGGCACATCGCTCCCACTGTCCCTAGGATATTGGAAATTTCTTTCCATTCTCAACTAGGCTACATAGAGCACTATGCTTAGAATTCTCTATCTTATAGAGTTCTAAAAACTCTATTCACGTCACCTTTACTAATAAAACTTTATGTGACTTAGTTACACTACCACAAAGGTGCTTACCTATATGCACATGACCCGGAGGGTTTGCATGACCGCATACAATAATGCGCTACACGACCCTTTGTGTTTACAAGACAGCATACAATAATGCGCTATAGAACCCTAGGTCTTAACTTCGCAATCTTATGAGAAGTAAAATAAAGATAAGCTGCTTAACGGTTACAGATCGCCCATAGATGGCTCTCGCTAACCTATTACTCAAAATGGAGTGTAAAATCTGATATGGAGGGCACTTAGATAGGGATATAGGCAACAAACTAGTGTAATTTCCAATTGGAAAACATTTTGCGCCATTATCCACCTAACATTAACAATATTTAATTTCTTATCTCTACTACACCATTGTGTTGTTGAGTACTAGGAATAATCAATTTTCTAAGAATCCATCTCTCTTCACAGAGTTTTCTAAAAATAACTCAAATAGATACTCGCCACCTTGGTCAAAACTAAAAGCACGAAAGCTGTTATCTAATTGATCTCAACCTCATATGTGCAATGTCAAAAATCATCTCAAAACTTTTGACTTATGGGAGATCAAATAGTCTTGACTCAGATGTGTATCGTAATCTATAAATGTGTCGAGATTGAGACTTAGCTATCATACCATTACACATATCTAGTCACAAATATCATAGTGGACTAAACGCGCCAAAACAAATGACCTTTTACGGCTTTCCTACTTACTTGTGCGCACCCATTGCGAACAAAGTTACACATTCACATGAGAGCAGGATGTCATAAGCGAGTGGGCCCGAGAAGGCCTACTCAAACCATCGTGTCATCATCTCATTAATGTGATTAAGTATAATAAGCCACTGGTTCATGACCAATGTCATAAACTAATTCCAATCATCTTAATGCGTGAGCTCTCGAAGACAAGTTTTAAAGGTTTAGGCCCAACTAGGTAATGACTCACGACTAATTCATATTCACTAGATTATAAAAGGATGTCATGGAGATATCAAGTGCGCCTAAGTCGCAAATTTAACTAGTAAGTGCTAATCTCTTGCACCTTCAAGTCAATTTTATTCTCCATACACTTTACTACATCTAGTTGAAAGATGACGATACTCCTCTTGCCATATCTATTTCTCGCTTCATAGTTACTTGCAATTAATTCTACGATCCACAAGAAGGAGAGAATAAGCTATCAACTATGACAGCTCCAAAGTAACTTAAGCGCGAATTAGGCTAAAGAGTCTAATTCAACACAATGCTCTCACAAGCGATGCGTCAAATTCTTAGAGTCATAACAACCTTGTCGGCCTTGACCTTTTCATCACTATGCCGTAACGTTTGCGCTTAGTGCTAAACGTTATTAAAAAACGTTAGCCTAGCTAAGGAATCATACAAAGAAGCCCCTCCTCATGTCTCACACTCAAGTGTGGAAACAGTAAGTGTCCAGACTTAGACAAGTTGGCAATGCTAATAGATTTTGCAATTTCTAAGCGCTAATCTTTTCACTTAGTGTTAATAGATTTTGCAGCTTCTAAGCGCTAATCTTTTAAATTCACGTGATATTTCAACGCACACTATTATAGTGCATGAAATTTTGCTCCATCCACTCCCAATAATTGGGTAGAGAGCAAAACACTGCTCATACTAGCTATTCGTCTTACACTTACTGACTAATTTATTTAAGCTCACATTTCTTGGATAACGTGACTCTTGAATGTTACTTCATCTAATGATGTAACATTATTTACATGTCAAATTACAAAGTCAATCCGCGCAGCTTAATAGTCAAGATCATATACAAATCTATTGAGGGCTTACTAATTTCATAACTCCAAAACTCGCCAACCAAAACTACGTAGCGTGCCGCTAACCATAGCGCACACATTAGTTTTTATTATGCCAAACAAGGCAACAAAACCACGACGACTTTGAGTCATGTTTCCTTACTTTGGCTCAATTAAGACTTGACCTAAAGTCTCAAAGACTTTTGCTCATCTAAAGAATGTGATTACATTGTTTACATTTGAACATCTTTACTAAGTCTAGGTCAACCAATTAACTTCTATAAGCTAAGTCAATTTAGAGAGAAATTCACATTAGGATTAATTTGATTAGCATAATATAATTTTGCCACAAAAATCTAAATTAAATGGTAACAATATTACACAAGTCGCAAGATCGAAAATCCGCTATGCTCGTAATCATCTCTTGCGCCACAAGTGACAATTATCCAAAATTTAATTTAATTTATGCGCAAAATATTGGTTTTCAGGAGTTAATTTACAAAGATTTCTCTCAACCGAATAACCTCCCACTGACTATGGCCTGTCTAAAAGCATGATAAAATATTCTAATTCCATACAATAGCATCATAATGTAGATTCACAATCAACTCATGCTATGTTACATTTAATAACGGAATTAAAATAAAAAAATAATTAATCATGCTATTCTAATTACAACATATGCAAAAAATAACAATATGCTGTATTTAATATTCAAATTATGCCATAACAGAAGGTATATCATTCTGAAATTTTTCTGAAATTTTTTGGAATTCTAAATAACTAATAAACACACATTAAATTAGAAATAAAAAATTCCAGAATCTGATAAACTGAAAAAATTGTTCTAGTAAATAGCAAAACATTTCAGAAGTCCGCAATAAAAAATTCAACCCCAAAAAATAATTTATGCAATACCAGAAGCATTTTAAAGCATAAATAATGAATTATAATCACAGGAAAAATACTTTTTATTTTCATAAAATTTTCAAAATTTTACAAAAGATAGAAAATATAATTATGAGTCTAACGGTACTAACCACGCTTAAAACAAAGCTATAACGAATTTATTATGACCATTTAACGTAATTCTGAATTTAAAAACAAAACAAACAGACCCTTACATCAGCACGGCGCGGCTCAGCACGCGGCTCGGCTCGCTGCTCAGGGCGCGGCTCGGCGCGCGTGTATGGCGCGGAGGGCGCGTTCGTGGAAAGCGTGGAACAGTGCGGGCGTGAAGGCGTGTGAGAGCGCGTGAGAGTGCACGGAGGTGCGTGAGAGCGCGTGGCAGCGCGTGGAGGCGCGTGAAGCCTCCCACAGTGTCAGATGGCGCGTGAGGCCCACGCTCCGCCTTTCAGGGTGTTTTTTGGTTCGATTTTTGTACTGTCGGACTCCATTTTTCACAATAAAAACATTTATGGCATTAAAAATAACATTTAATGAACATAAAAATGAAGTGTATCACATTCTCAATCAATAAGAGTTGAAGTGCAAAAAACCGTGCACTTCACCTTCCTCCTCCATTAATTTTCATGCATATAATGTGTATATATTTATATAAAAAAATACACATATTTTAATGCATAAAAAATAAGCACGAACAAACCCATATAGGCTCTGATACCAATGTAAATCATAAAGCATTATAAATTAACGCAGTGGATAAAAATAATTCGGATCATACCTTAATGACAGTAGCGAAGAAACACCGTGGGTAAATCACGTGCTTCAAAATGTGATCAGTTAAACGAACGCCAGCAGTGACAAAATGAGTATCACCCACACAAGTCACAGTGCAGAGGCTTGATCATTGTTTTAATGGGAGAGAGTCAGAGAGAGAGTTTTTGGAAAAAAGATTATGGGTAAAAACCACATTACGTATATCTGATATATGTATCTAATCTGTTAAATATATTATATATAAAATATATAATCAAATATAACAACCAATATCTATCTATCCATCTATCCATATCTATTGATATGATAAATATAGATATCCTGAATGGTTATCCAAATAAGTTTTGAATTCAAATTCAAACTTACATGGATAAGGTTCAAAAGGTTCAAAGGGTCATGCCACATGGGCACCCAATTTCTAACAAGTTTGATCTTGTATTTGGAACCTTGAGTTTTGATTTGAAGTTATAATGTTTATTTCAATGTGTTTTGAAGTATTTTGAGCCTTATTTTACACACAAAAGAGTTGGGATTGCAAGAAAGAAGAAGGCCCATTGTTTAACAAATTTTCGAACTGGTTTTTCACCCAGACCGCTCGAGCAGCCTGGGCCACCGCTTGAGCGGCCAACCTTGGTTTGGCCAAAATTTGATTATGAAGTTCCACCACTCGTGCGGCCAAGGCCACCGCACGAACAACCGGGCCACCGCACGCGCGACCAAATCCACCGCACGTGCGGCCAAACAGGGCAAATTTTCAATTTTGTTTTCTTTCTGTTTTTTGACCTTCGAGCCTTCATTTACATGATTTTCACATGTCATTTACATCCATTAGCATCTCATGAGCATGAAAGAAAGTAAAAGAAAAATAAAAATAATTGAACGGTCAAGTAACGAATAACTGAATAAGGTTCAACTATATGACTCAGATGTGTATTGAGAAATTGTATCATGAATGTTTGTATTTGTAGGTCAAGACTGGAAGACCGAACAACCGGATTTGGAAGCCCACTGTGAGTAACATTTTTGTAAAAATATGTTGATATGAATTATGTTTTAACTGTTATCGATAAACTTTGGTTTCTTGAAATGTTTAATTATGTGAACAAATGCCCTATTTGCGAATTTATTATAGTATCCACAGATAGTCCCAAGTCATGGGAGACGACATGCAAATGCGGGTCCATGACATATATGTGATACGAGATCTCGTTAGCCACTTCATTATGGTGATATGTGTTTAATCGGTATACGGAACCGATTAAATAGTCAGAAGATGATATGTGTGATGTTCCATTATGTTATGTTCTGATACGAGACAGATATGAATTATTGTGTCATGATTTGGTTTACAAATATGATATATTTGGAATTCATTTACTAACCCCTTTACTTTAATGTTATTCACTAGACTTTAGCTCACAGTTTTTATGTATATATATAGGTGAGCATTCTGGAGGACAAGCCTAGGAGGGGTCTTTAGCCGAGCCACCGTTTTGAAGCCTACCGAGTCGTTTTGGGTGCCTTCAAGTTGGGCTAGGCCTGGAAGGCCGTTGTTAAACTTTTGATCTTGTTGTACACTTGTGTCACATGCCTATGTTTTGTATAAGATATTATGTTATCGTTATGTATTGTAAGTGGATAAATTAACATTTGCATGTAAATATTTGTTCATATAGATGCACAGTTATTGGACTATTGGTGTTTTTGCCTTTTGTTTTCGTAAGCCCCGATTATTTTTGATTGTACAGGAAGGCCTTTGGTAATCCCGAATTACTGGCCGGTTATGATGCCAAACTTTTAGGAACGGGTTTGGGTCGTAACACACGGCGGAATTAGGAGAAAATTATGGGGGACTATGGCCCTCCTGCTTCTGTGAACATTATTATTTGTCATAAAATTTTAAAGGGTAAATTATATTTACCTCCCCTGAGGTTTCTGACAAATGCAGGGACCTCCCCTATGGTTTAAATAATTACAGTAACCCCCCTACTTTACCTGACAATGTCAAGATTCTCCCAAAATAGCCGTTTATACACCTAACAGACCCTGCTGATGTAATCAAATATAAACAAGAAAATGCCCATAATGCCCTCAACCCATCTATATATACCAAATGGTAAAGTTCTCCAGTTTCAACAAATCCAAGTGAAAGAGGAAAAATTACAGAGGCATCCAATTGAAAAAGTGAAAATTTCAGAGGCAACCAAAATTGAAGAACAACAAAAAAGAGATAACAGAGGTCCAAGCACAACACAAGCATGTTCCCACTCACATTAACTATTTTTTTTAAAAAAAAAAATTGTATGTGAATAACAGCTAACTAGTCCAAAATAATAATAATAATAATAATAATTTCAAAGCATAAAGCACAAACAACATGAACCATTCTTGACAAATAAAGCACAAACATCAAACATCCAACACAAGTATGTCCCATTATTCAGAAATAAAGCACAATAACAACAAAATGCAATATATGTTCTGAAAATGCATTATAACTCTCACATTTCATAAATGTAGGTTCATTGGATGGATATGTCATCATTGAGTAATGGAGGAGAGGCGATGAAATATAGAAGCAAGCTTTGCTACTGTGGGAGCAAAGCAATAATTAAAGTAACTGAATCTGGAAAAAAACAGAGGCAAATTGTATTATTTATGCCCAAATGGGAAATGTGCATTCTGGGACTGGTGCAAACCAGTAAACTCATCTGTTGGAGGGGAAATGATGATGGAAGACACTCAAGCAACTGTTAATAGACACACTTCATCCTATGAAGAAGAAAATCATGCAATGAATTTAATGAACCAAATGGGGGCTATGCAAACAAGGATGGAAGTACTTGAAGCAAACATGGGGTTTATGAAGATAATAATGATCATGAATGTTGTTTTATGTTTGATTTCCCTAATGGTTGCTCTCAAAATATAATGGTAATGATTTACCGAATGTTTTGTAATGGACCTTATGTAAGGTTTTGTAATATTTTGTAATAGACCTTATGTTTTGTAATGGACCATATATAAATATGATGAAGTTATTTCAATATTATGTAAATATGCACATCTAATTTGACTAACATAATAACCTGTAAACATAAAGACCATTCCATTACATCATCTAAACATCAAGTAGGACTGTTTAATTACATCATGATTGTTCTTAAATATGTTCAATTAGTTTACTTACATCATTCCTATCAGATATGTTCAGTTACATCATTCTATGGACCATATTTGTCAAGTCTATGCAATTACATCATCTACATTCCCAAAATGAGTATTTATAAAATACTTCATGGCCATTACAAAAAAAACAAAAGTGGCCACATCATCAGATTGCTATTCTTAGCATTGTATGTCCACTACAAAAATACAAAAAAATGAAACATGATCCTCATTAACTATACAGTCAAGCAACATATATTTTATACCTTCAACCTATGTTAATCCTTGTACCCAAAATATCAACAGCTTAGCTAAGTCATCTGCAAAAAAAAGTCAAACAAACAAACAAATAAACAAAAATGCAATGTTGGATTCATGTAAGCTGAAAAAATAAGAAAATAATTTCATTGTAGCTTCATAACTAAGTTCATAACTAACATGATGTTCTGTGACCTGTGTAACACACTGAGTAGGCATTGGAGGGGTCCCTCTTGGAATATCCTAAATTGAAAACCAAAGTAAGGTGATAAATATGCATATTAATATCATAAATGGATAGACAAAACAAATAAAAATCACAAATGAAAAGGCACAACAAATAGAAAAAACTTACTTGTGCATACTTGACCTTGCCCTTGCCTCTCCCACCTGAACTCCCCTTCCTAGTTGAACTTCCTCTTGTAGTTGTATTTCCCCTCCCAGCTGAACCGTCCCTCCCACTTGAATTGTCTTTACCACTTGCATTTCCCCTCTCAGCTGAACTACCTCTCTCACTTGAATTGTCTCTACCTCTGTCCCAACTCACAGATCTGCCACTGCCTCTGCCCCTACTCAGAGATCTGTCACTGCCTGTACCAGTAGTTTTGGCACTGCCTCTACCACTGGATGTGCCACTGCCCCTACCATCAGCAGATGCTCCACCCCTGACTGGACCTCTTTGGCAAGTTCTTTTGTTGTGTCCAAATTGCATGCACCATTTGCATCTCAAGGTACTAGACCTTTTGCTCTGACTTGTTCCAGCTGATGGCTCATGAGCAGCCCTCTTTCTTGAAGTCCTTGGCCTTCTTGGAAATCTTTTCAGAGGTGGGTGTTGTACAGGGTCCCCAGGTATGAGTGTCCACATGCTATGGTCTAAGATGGGATGTATCATTCCATTATTGGCTCTCAAGTAAGTTGCCTTAGAAAAGTAAGGGTGGACAAAATCTTCTATGTTTATCCTACTGTGACAAATTGTAGCCACAGCATGCTTGCATGGAAGACCAGATATTTCCCACTGTCTACATACACAAGTCATGGCCCCAATATGGACAATGTGATTAACCCCCTCATTATCCTTCACCTCATACTCATTGCCTCCTGCATACTTAACTGTGTAAGTCCTTGACCATTTCAGTGTAACCTCAAGCTATTTCTTCACATTCAATGTCACATTAGATCTCCACTGCATTGTCTTTTGGTACCTCATCTGAAACTTACCCATCAACTTGCACCTTATGCCCTCTAACATAGTTAAAATTGGCTGAGTTCTCAAATTTCCTAACCAATTGTTGAAGGACTCTGTCATGTTATTTGTGATGTGATCACTTCTAATCCTACCATCAAATGCATGCCTAGACCTTCCTTCAACTGGAACCTTCTGCAACCAAATGCAAGCATCATTGTTCAGGTCCTTAATGGCTTGCATAGCCTTATCATACTCCATCTGATTGTAAGCCCTTGCTGCTCTCCAAAATTGCTTCCTCAAAATTAAACCCGGAAATTTGGCTCTGAAATTGTTATATAGGTGCATGCAACATCTTCTATGAGTTGCCTCCGGTATAATGTCACTCACAATCTTATCAAGGCCCTGCATATAAAAACAATGAAACATTACTAAGCATTACAAGTTTAAAATTAGAGAATCATTTGTAATTATGTAAGTAAAGTAGTTGTTGAATATGTCAGTAAAGTACCTTTTGTTGATCAGACATGATGGTCCATGGTCTAGAAGGTAGTGCATCTTCTATGATTGTTCTCAAGTTGTGCAAGAAAAAAGACCAACTGTCCTTGCATTCACCCTCTACTATTGCCAATGCCAATGGAAACAAGCCATTATTTCCATCCAAGGCAACTGCTGAAATTAAAACACAACCATAGGGACCCTTCAAGTGACACCCATCTACCCCTATGAATGGCCTACATCCATTAATGAACCCTGCTTTCATTGCATCAAATGATATGAAAATTCTTTGGAACAATGGATATTGAGGAATGGTAGGGTCTGGTTGTTCTCCATCTTCTGAAACTGGGGTAGAGGGTATGTCATAATTTATGACAACCAAGCTGCCAGGGTTTGTTTTGTTGATTTGACTAGCATATGTTGGCAACAACACATATTGGCTCCCATGATCACCCTCCAGCTCCTCCTTGCACCTCCTTTTGGCTCTATACAGTTGCATTCTTGAAGCCTCAATCCCAAACATTTTATTCAGTTTCATTTGCATGGTATCTAAGCCCATGTGTGGATTGTCCTTAAAACTTTCAACCATTTTTTTAGCAATCCAAGCTGATGTAGCTTCAGTGTTTGTGTTCATCCTGCTACATGTGTGAGTAGGTACTAAGGTTTTAATCCCATCTGGAAGTGGAGATGCATGAATTCTCCAAGGGCAGCCCTCAGCAGCACAATGGGCTGTTACTCTAGACTTCTCATTTTTGTCTCTTACTATCTTGAAACCAGTTTGCACTGTATAGTCCCTTAATGTAGCCCTAAAAGTATTCACTTCTGGAAAAATCATCCCTTCTTCCAACACAACTTCTCCATCTTGATTCATATATGGCTCTTTCCCATTGTAGGTACCATCATACTTCATGCCTGGAAACCTCATCTCTTCATCATCTAGACAGTCTGCTTCATCATCATAATCATCATCAGTACTAGAATATGGCACTTCATCATCACCAGATTGGTAATCACTAAGTTCAGCATCATCACTTGAGCACTCATTATCATCATCACTCAAAATCTCATTGGCATCTGATTGGTTTTCATCCTCAGCAGTTGCATTCCAATCCCTATCCTCATCACTAAACCCATAAACATTGTCCTCATGGTACTCTTCATCTACATCTACAGTATGGTAGCCTTGCTCTACATCTACAGCATCTACTCCATGATTTTCATTTCCAACATTACTTTTATGTCCACCATCACTCATTCCAATAGAATATTCTATGTTTACATACAAGTTAATTGTTTTACTCCTTCCTTGCACATAAAACATGTCTAGCACATCAAGATCATTTTCTACTAATCTCCTTCTGTCAGTACCAGGCATATCACAATGCAATGTGATTGCTATTGCTTCACTACAAGAAATGTGAGACAGGACTGTTGCAGTTACATCCTTCAAGGCATCAATGTAGCAATACATATTTGGGTCCACATCAAACACTCTTCCCACTTTTCCTTTGTAGTTGATGATTAAATCAAAATAAGGAAATGCAGCCATACTGTAATCATAATGATGTACCAATTATAAAATAAAATAAGCAAGCCCATACAATGACAAATTGACAAGAAAAAGAAGAAAAATGACGTAAAAATTAACTCAGTACTCAACAATTAACTGAAGAAAATATGCAAACATGAAGAAATCCGTAAATTACACTATAATTATACTAATATTAAACAATCATAAGTAAAACCCAACAAATCAGAAATTCATTCTAAACATACATCTCCTGAATAACACCCAGAAAATCATAAATTCATAAATTTTCAACAAATTCCCTGTATTCGAATCAGAAATTTTGCAAATCAAATAAAAGCCCTCAACATTGCAAATCAAATAAAAGCCCTAAACATTGCAAATCAAATAAAAGCCCTAAACATTGCAAATCAAATAAAAGCCCTAAACATTGCAAATCAAATAAAAGCCCTAAACATTGCAAATCAAATAAAAGCCCTAAACATTGCAAATCAAATAAAAGCCCTAAACATTGCAAATCAAATAAAAGCCCTAAACATTGCAAATCAAATAAAAGCCCTAAACATTGCAAATCAAATAAAAGCCCTAAACATTGCAAATCAAATAAAAGCCCTAAACATTGCAAATCAAATAAAAGCCCTAAACATTGCAAATCAAATAAAAGCCCTAAACATTGCAAATCAAATAAAAGCCCTAAACATTGCAAATCAAATAAAAGCCCTAAACATTGCAAATCAAATAAAAGCCCTAAACATTGCAAATCAAATAAAAGCCCTAAACATTGCAAATCAAATAAAAGCCCTAAACATTGCAAATCAAATAAAAGCCCTAAACATTGCAAATCAAATAAAAGCCCTAAACATTGCAAATCAAATAAAAGCCCTAAACATTGCAAATCAAATAAAAGCCCTAAACATTGCAAATCAAATAAAAGCCCTAAACATTGCAAATCAAATAAAAGCCCTAAACATTGCAAATCAAATAAAAGCCCTAAACATTGCAAATCAAATAAAAGCCCTAAACATTGCAAATCAAATAAAAGCCCTAAACATTGCAAATCAAATAAAAGCCCTAAACATTGCAAATCAAATAAAAGCCCTAAACATTGCAAATCAAATAAAAGCCCTAAACATTGCAAATCAAATAAAAGCCCTAAACATTGCAAATCAAATAAAAGCCCTAAACATTGCAAATCAAATAAAAGCCCTAAACATTGCAAATCAAATAAAAGCCCTAAACATTGCAAATCAAATAAAAGCCCTAAACATTGCAAATCAAATAAAAGCCCTAAACATTGCAAATCAAATAAAAGCCCTAAACATTGCAAATCAAATAAAAGCCCTAAACATTGCAAATCAAATAAAAGCCCTAAACATTGCAAATCAAATAAAAGCCCTAAACATTGCAAATCAAATAAAAGCCCTAAACATTGCAAATCAAATAAAAGCCCTAAACATACATCTCATAAATAAAATAAAAAAAATCAGAAATTTATATTAAATCCCTACATTACACTATTATTATAGTAATATTCAACAAATTCCTTTTTTCCAGTCAGAAATTTTGCAAATAAAATATAAACTCTAAATATATATTTTCGAAGAAAACCATTTTCACATACATTTCATCAAATCAAACACAGAATACAAACAAATTTATAAGAAAAAAGATGGAAAAAAATATTCGAAAATCATCAACACACATTTTAAAACACTATTCGAAGCTTACAGAGTTCGAAGTCTTACCTGGAAGCCGTAACAGCAACTTCTCACCGATGAAACTCTTTAAGTCCCCAAAACCAAAATTTGATAGCATAGACCACAAAAAATTTCAGTTAACTGAATCATATGCTTTTTCAAAATCCAATTTCAGAATCAGCCCCTTTTTTTTTTTGTGTTTCCTCCACCAATCCACTACCTCATTGGCTATCATGATGCCATCAAAAATATGACGACCCCCTACACTAATAACATTTGGCAGCACCAAGCTCAGTCTACGAGATAAAACTTTGGAAAGGATTTTGTAAACGAGGTTCAATAAACTGATAGGTCTGAACTCCCCAAGGCTCAAAGGACTAACCACCTTAGGAATAAGGGCAATAAATGAACTGTCCAGGCCTTTAACCAATCTGCCATTGGCGTGGAACTCTTGCAAGAAATGGACCACATCTTCCTTCATCACTTTCCAACACTTTTGTACACAACCCATGTTAAAACCATCCGGCCTCGGGGCTTTGTTCCCATTACTTTCCTTCACCACCCTCCAAATTTCTTCCATGGTAAAAGGAGCTTCCAAAACCTCACTAACCTCAATTGAGCTTAAAGTCACAAACGAGCCACCTAATTTTGGTCTACAAACCTAATTTTCAACAAAAGCTGAGGAAAAATGCCTTAAAACTTCTTGTTTAATTATCAAAGGATCATCATATCTATTACCATTAACTAGCACTGAATCCAACAAATTCCTACTTTGCCTTTTACTAGCAATGATATGAAAAAATTTGGTGTTCTTATCCCCATTATGTTCCCAATTCAATCTAGATTTTTGGAACCAAATCCGATCATTCCACTTCTTAAGCTTCCAGACCAGATTCCTAACTTCCCTCCTATTTATTATTTCTGGAGTACTAAGTGGTCAAACTTCAGCTACTATATCTAGAGCATGGAGATCATCTTCGGCCTTCTTCAATTGGTTCACCACATTTCCAAATACTTCAATGTTCCATTTTTTCAGCTCCAATTTCAAGGAATTGAGTTTCCTCATCAGTTTGTAACCGGCCCATCCTTGGACAGAGAATTCCACCCAACACTTCTCCATTGTTGATAAGAAGTTGGAATGCAAAAGCCAAGCATTTATAAATTTAAAAGGCCTGGGACCCCAATTTCTCAAATCCTCCATAAGTAGCAAGGGGCAATGATTAGAAACTCCACTAGGTAAGCCCCAGAGTTTGAAACAAAATTTCTCCAACCATGCAGGCTCCAGAAGAAATCGGTCAATTTTACTCCATCTCTCACCTTCCAATGAGTTACACCGAGTAAACTTTCTGCCCAGTAGAGGAATATCAACTAATGCCAATTGGTCAATGAAATTATTAAAATCTAGCATACCTCTATCTCTCCTAGTACAACCTTTTCTGTCAGACATGAACCTAATCTCATTAAAGTCCCCTCCCAGACACCAGGGCTTCAAGAAATGTTACTTTAAATTGATGATTAAATCCCAAAGCTTCCTTCTCCTAACAGCATCAATGGGTGCATAAATATTAAGAACAACACATTCAAAAAGGTCATGGGTGGTACCTGATAGGATGATGAGATTTCTGGTGCTGCAACAATCTGACAAAACGAATACCTCAGGATTCCAAATACACAATAGACCCCCTGAATTCCCTTCAGCATCTACTGCCAAAAACTCCATATGATCCCATGGCCATACTGATTTTGCATCTCTAATTTGAATATTGCTTCTCTTAGTCTCTTGAATAAGAAGGATATCAATTTGCCTATCCTTAACCATCCTTTTGATACTGGACCTTTTCTCCGACCTTCCAAAGTCTCTAATGTTCCATGATGACAACTTCATAACAAACATATTTGCTGCAATAACCCCCCAGCTAACAAATCTACTAAGTGCTACCATCCACCAAACCTGGATCCACACCTGCTACTTTTTGTGCATCTCTAACTTCCAAATCAACCATTTTACACATCACTTCTGACTCATTTCCTTCAAAATTGATGCCCAAGGATTTGCCAAGAGTAATAATGTCTTGTGCTTCCTCCAGTTACTTTCTTCTTCTTCTACTGAGTCTACTGGCTTGACTTTTTTGTGAAAATGACTGGGATATAGCCGCTGCAGCAGCCCTAAAGATGGCTCCCCTTTGGAAGAAATTGGGATATGGATAACCTTTGCGATTAAGTCTTCGCTTCCCTATGCCTCTGCCACCTATTCCACCACTCTGCATTCGAATAGAGGAGCTGACAAAAGAACCTTGAGAGGAACCAGACCCGTCTCCATTGTCCTGGCCTTGGGCCATACGGTTACTAAGGAAATTAGATGCATGCGCTGAAAGGTTACAAATGGGAATAGGCCCAACACCAGCCATCATTTGCTGGGCTTCACCAATAACCACCTCTAAATTTATATTGGGCCTCTCCCTTTCAAACCCATTAAGACTTTTCATGAAGCCTGGAGTAGAGATGCCTTCATCTATTGTAATGGGTTTATCTACATGCAGTTGTACTGCTTCCTCTTCCAACCTCCCTCCCCTCAATCTACTGATAGGCCCTTTAAGTGGTATTTCAAAACTACTGCCTACTACATCAACTACAGTCTCTGACACCCAGCTTTTCTGATCATCTTTATCTGCTTTGGTGCTCTGTGATATGACCTTTTTGCCGTTGGCCACCTCCTCCTCCACACCCGCTCCCACCCATGTCCCCTCATCACTACCTCTTCCACCGCCTTCTAACACTGGGCCATGGTCAACTCTTTGCTTCTGGTCATCCCCATTTACAGATGCTCCTTCACCCATCGGCCTACAAGCACATTGGGACAAGCTTCTCTCCATTACCACAGAGGAATCCAGATTTTCACAAACTCTCACGGGGTAATCCTTGCCTTTATGTTTTTACCATCACTACCCCATTGATAAACTCCATACACCTGGTAATAATCCTAACCTTCCCATATTGAAAGGACGTACCTCTGGTACTATTTTCATCAAATTGGACAACTTCACCCCCACAACGCTCATATACTTCTGAAGGTTTCAACATTCCATAAATTAAGAGGCATACCAAAGCAACTAAGCCAAACACACCTCTCTTGAACAAAATCTGCTCCAACTTTCCATTCTTGTAATGAATCACACCAGTCGAAGATCCACTCCTTTAAACTCTCTTTACAGCTCTTCATCTCTTGTATTGAGTTAAAGGTTAGCGTGGCTCCTCTCCCACTACCCATACGGATAACAGTGTCCTTAAGCCCTCTTCGACTGCATTCTTGCACAAAAACAGCAAAAGCAAAGAAGGATTTAAGCTTTAGAAATATGCTCTCATACAGCCAAGCAATCCCAGCTTCCTTAGCATGGATGGACAGCCTACTATTTTGACAGGGGTTCCCCCTTTTCACCACCTCGGCATAGGACTTAAACCCTGCTGTTTGGAATCCCTTATGAGGGCCCTGCTCTGATATGGAATTGGCGTGCAGATGACTCGCTCTATGCCAAAAAGGAAGCTTCTTTTTGCTTGTCTGCATTCCTTGTCCTTTTGATACTCTGCCCTCTTTACTTTGGGTTCCTTGTTATCCCACCATAGTCCATTTGCTTTTTGTACAACCACTTCAGCAGCCACAAGCCAATCAAAACACACAAACCTGAACCTTGATCCGGTTGCCTTCCTTCTTTTCATGGGTATATACACATCGTTCACCACTCCGAACTGAGAGAACAGCCCAAACAACTTCTTTGGATTCATGGACTCAGGAATCTCATCCACAAAAACCGTAAACAATCCTTGATGCTGGGGATCGAAAAATGGCCTCTGAACTCCTTGCTTCCTAATTATTGGCCTCCATCCTCCTAGATCTCTCAGACTTTGTTCCTTCTCCCTCGGATTGGTAACATCCATCATCTGGAGTGACTTTGTTCCTAGATCTCTCAAATTTCTCTCTCTCATAACTACAAGAGTTTTAGAAAACGGTATACATATTGTTTGATACACATAACATTGTTACTGCACAAAATACCACTTCATATAATTATTCATAAACTTTATTTTTGAGAAATGTGAGCAACAATAATTAATGTTTAGCCTCTTTTTTTTTTTTGGTGGATCAGCCTAGTGTATGTTTAACTTAAAACTGAATTGTTATTTCATCACCAATATAAAGCCAGATGTTTTTTTCTTTTTTTTAAATAGATCATTTATTTATTTTTTTAGAGACAAATGGGCTAAAATAAGAAAGATACAAATATCGGATCGATTTATTTATTTTTCATTAGATGATATATATGGATAACTTCACAAAATAAACAATTCAAATTATTGAAACAAAACTTGTGATAGACCTATAGGTTTGGATATGATGGTCAAGTTCAAATTTGAACTAGAGAAGTCTAAACCTTTCTTGTAATAAGTTGTTTTTTTGGGGGAAAGAATTAGGGTGGTATGACAACTTATCATTTTCCCAATCCTGAATTCCTATATATATATATATATGTATATAAATAGTGTATATGTATGTATGCATATTTAAAGATGTAATTAAATTGGAAATTAGGTCATAAAATTAGGTATATTTTAGCTAATAAGTAGTTTAATTGATTAGTATGAAATAAAGTTAAAAAAATAGTGTGTAAACCTAAGAGAGAGAAAGTGAAGATAGTAGAAGTGTATTAAGTTAAAAACTTCAGGATTAACGTTGTATATATATCTAGCTCTTACATCAAATCATATTTACTTTTGTATTTGGCATCTATGATTTTTAATTTGTTGACAAAATGACCTAAGAAACAACATATGTTATTGAGACTTGCATGTTGCATGTTAGATGGACTTGCTGCACCTAGACTTGACCCAAGAGTATTGAATAATTTCTTGCTAGACGAACCTCCGTTACCAACTAGGTAATAAATACGTATGTCTTGCCTAGTTTAGGAAATATGAAATCAGATTATCTGTCCTACTCTCTCATGTCTCGCTGTCTCAAATACACTCTCTACCACAACAAAATGAGAGCTAGAGAGACATATCCTATGATAGAGGTACAAGAGAGAGTACAATGA